AGGTTGATATACAGGTGAAGATTTAGGGACGACCGGGACCAGTGTCCATTGGAGCTACAGCGACATCGTGTTTTATGGCGAGGGATGCGTTTCCATGGTAACAGCATATGGTGAGATCTCAGATCTGGCGTAAAGCTGTCGAGGCATGGATCGTTGATATACAAGCGAAGTTTGGCCGTTTGCGTCCAGCACGTCAATGTTTAATATCTGTAAAAGTAAGAATCAGATTTAAAAGTTGTGTTACACGAATAATGTCAGAAAGATGTGTGACATTTTAAAGTTGGAATGAGGTTTCTGAGTGAAAGTATGAAGGAGCAGTTAGCAGTTGAAGAAGGAGCAGTTAGCAGTTGAAGTTGCATGAAGATTGTTGAAGTCTGAAGATTTCTCCATTGACTTCCATGTTAAAAATGTGATGAATTATGGGATGTACCTCTGGAATTATGAAAGTTATGAATGATAAAAGTAATAGCCATTGATTCCCGACCGAGCTGAACGTTTTGATGTTCGAACCGAGTTTCTGCGATGTTCAATGTGGGAGACGAAGCAGCGCAAAATAACCCGGTGGAATAATAAAGAATTTTGTGCGTAGCATAACAGATAGTTGGAATGCTGTGTCAGCATTCCAACTAAATTAATATAATCTCTCATTGGGAAGGATAACAGCTTTGACTGTGTGTTCTGCAGGTACGGTGATGCAGTGATGGAGCTGGACTACAGCGTTGGTCACATTTTGTTGTGGCTGAAGAGACTGGGCATTGAAAATGATACCTTTGTCTTCTTCACCTCTGACAACGGAGCAGCGCTAACGTCTGGACCAAATGAAGGAAAGCACTACAAATTAATTCCCACTTGCACACAGAGTGTCTCCCTTCGAGTCAGTGCATACCAAGGCACATTTTCTGTCTTGTACAGGTGTGTATTTTGATACATGCTTACATTTGTTTTTGTGCTTCTGATTCCTCAGCCGGGAGCAATGGGCCGTTCCTCTGTGGGAAAGAGACCACCTTTGAAGGGGGCATGAGGGAGCCTGCCATTGCCTGGTGGCCTGGACACATCAAAGCAGGCACAGTAAGAATACCCCTGTGATTTGAAGCTTTTTACCAAATAAAGCCTGCTAAAATACAATCATTCACTTAATCCCTACCGTCTTCTCTTGAGAATAAACTAGACCCAAGATCCTGAGCCAGTTATTCCTCTTCTAAACATTGTTGCTGCTCCTTAATGTTCTGCCTATCAACAGGTACCAGGAGCTGTAATATTCTCTATAAAGCTGCAGGCGATGTACAGGACCGTAAAGGAATAATTTAACTAATCCTCTCTTTCTAATTATTGTTGCTTTGTGTTTTATTTGTGTATCATTTACCACTTAACATGCACACACTCTCACCTACTGGCGCTGTCAGCAGTCAATCTTGACTATGTTCAACTTCTATGGAGTGATTGAACTCTAGTAAAGAATTACTGCGCCTCAAAGCGTATGGGCGCTCTCTCTCCACTATTTCTTCAAATATTTTTGGCCTGGAATTAATGCTCCAAACTCTCTCTTTCTTGCCTCCCCCTCCCCAATGTAACCCCCCACCCACACCGTGATCCTCTAAGCCTGTGCGTTCTGCAAATGACTTTTAATTGTATTAGGGGCAGCTGTGACACGGGGCTGTGACGCAGAGGGATTTGGTGGAGGAGCGAGCGGAGGCTGCAGTCTGCAGTAAGCCTTGCCCCTGGCTCATCTCACAGGGGTGTGCTGGGGCCTGATAGCACAGCAGAGGAGCGAGGGAGAGGGGGATTGGGAGCGTCTTAAGCGGCTAATCTGTTTGTGTGTTTGCTGAGGTTGGATTGAGCCGTAATGAGGACTTCAGTATCTGAATATGCCAGGCGCTCAGGATAAAGGAACAGGAGGGGTGGAGGGGGGGAGTACAGGGAAGGAAGCAAGGAAGAAGTAAAAGAGGTGGCTGGCATAGCAAAGAGAAAAGGAGCAATGCTTAAGACACTGCTACACTGCCAGGAGTATTCTGTGTTTGTAGGGCTTTGCCACTTTATAATTGACCACTGTGTCTTAGCATGCATGTGCAAAACATGTCTGTGTCATTTGTGATTCTGCATGCCTGCATATATGCGTGCTTTTGTATGGATTAGTTGTATCTGTGCAGCTTTCACGACCAGTGGGAGACACAGATGTAACTCATTATACTACAAATGAAGAACATCTCCAAACAAACGTGTGTGTATGTTTGTATGTGTGGCTTAGCTGTGAGAAGGAGGGTCAATCGATCCTCCCCGGAGCTCTTTGGGGTTGTGATGACAAAGCTGTTTTGTTGGAGCTACTGTGCTCTGCAGCTCTGTATGTATCACTCTAGGAGGGAGGACATGACACACACAGGACTGCCCCCTCTCTGGTTTTGTAGTCTTCTGAAATCTCTGTTGATCTGTGTATTGAAAAGTCTGTAAGCTCTTTGAACAAAATAATAGAGACAACAAACAGCCGTGCAATCCTTTGTTAAGGCGGGATTTCAGCAGGTTTATTTGACTCATGATAACATCTTTATGGTGTTTAAGAGACACATGTTGGGGGGATTGGTGATCTGTGAATGCATCTGACAGATGAAACTAAGTCATTCACCTTACTTTTGTGAATGTGCAGAAAATTGTTGACGACTGGTTATTCTCTCGGAGGATGGGAGGAGGTGTACTGGAATGAAGCAGGTGCAGATTCAGCATTCTCCCAGTGCCTGATGGGGG